TGAAAAAAGATAAAAACTTTCTAGAATAACAAGTTATCAAGCATTTTTAAATCCAAACAATTTTCAGACATATCATATGTTTTTTTAATATATTTATTTTGAATATGCATCAATTAAATTCATTATATGGATTTACTAATAATTTTGAGCCACTAGCATAAAACATGGATTGAATATAATGTTTCCATCAATTACGTATGTGTCACAAAATATAAGACAAGGCACAATTTAGAAAGCAACCGGTTGTATTTCACTACAATGGCTAGATGCTTGATTCTCCACTTCAAAATGAAAATAAGAGCACCTTTAGATAATTAAATACACAATAAGTCACACAAGTAAGAAATTAGATGTACTTTATCGGTAGAAATGTAATGTAAGCTCCAGATGGTGATGAATATGAACCGATATACGGGCATTTCTTGCGTCGTAAATAGCTACATGTGAATAAGTCTTTGAAAAGTAAATGTATTCTACTACGAGCTAGTTTAACAAGCTTTCTTACAAATGAAGGTAAGCTGCTGGACTAAATCACTACACTTCAACATCTAAAATAAAACAAATATAAGGGGAAAAAGATGCTCCTATAGTGAAAAAGTACAACCTGAATTCGGAAGCTAGTCACTTCACTGCTACGTGTACATCTTCGGACTTGGAATGGAAGGGGAATGGAAGAATTATTCTAATGTAATCCTGACTGTTTTCAAGAGGCATTGACTATCCTGCAACAACATGATGTTCTTCAAACTGGCCATTGAAAATTTGGATTTTTCACGCAAGTACCAAAGACAAGTGCGCTATTGACCCCTCTCCACCAAAGAACGTGCAGCCAGATAAGTTACATATGAAAGGCCTGGAAGCCGGCCGAACAGCAACATATGCACAAAATTTGCATGAGCTCACTTGCTCGCCCATGCTCCAAAAGTTTAGCATCAACTTTTCGTAATAAAACAATAGTCAAGTGCCAATTTAGAGATGTCGATACTATAACATCAGCAATATTGGTCTGTAGTTCCCGAGAATTCCTTCTTCCTGGAACTTCTGAAAGCCATGACCATCCTATGATTACAGTTTCTCTGATTCTATGTTCGATTGTCCCTTAGGCAGGAGCAGAAAATTATGATCCTCCCAAACGCACGGCCAGCGAGCAGACAAAGCCTCGATATCCTAAACAAGCTCCTTAGACTTTTTCACAAAAAAATTTGTTCCAGTTACGAGAATGATAAGGACCGACAAACCTTCCCAACCGTTTTCTCTGGATACTCAATCTTAAGCTGACCGGAGGTTGGGACCCACCTTTGTCCGAGAAGGAGCGGACATCATATGTTACCGAGAACGAAAAGAGGCGCCCAGTAATTTAGCGAAAGGATGGGAAGCCCCAGCTATGTTTAACCAGACCCGTGGCACCCGATCGTTGGCGTTGAAATATCTTGTGTCAACGCACACTTTAGTACAAGCAAACCCAGATGACTCTTCCCTGCCTTGTTACCTATCACCCCAGTGTTGTACATTTGTCGGGAGGTTCTCATTGTTAATTTTCTGCAAGTTAAGAATGAACTTCAGCAAGTAATTGATGATCGACGGTGACATGAATAAATAATTTGTATGAGATAATCGGATCGTACTACGTCGTATAAAAGAGAGGAAATGAAGCTGCGAGTTCCAGGAGGCAGAGTTCATCGTGGACTAGAGATCAGGGTTTGGACACACGTGTTTCAGGGCGTGTTTTCACATAATCAAGTACACTGACTAACAAAAATGTTGGCATTTAGGCTTGTTTGGACATGCCTATCCTCATGTTACACCACCATGTGAATCTTTCTCCATTTCATTTACACAGCATGTTGAAACTTTAATATTTTGATGAAAGTTATAAGATAATTTTCCACATCTCAACCATCATATGGTAACATAGTATTGACTTTCTTTTATTGACGTGAACATCAACAATATTGTGTTGCAAAGATATGTACATGATTTCAATTAGTAGCACATCGCAGAATAAGGTGACTTGGAAATGAATAAAATGTCTTTAACACGGCAAACATGAAGTAACTAAATATTATTTTATTTTCTAATTTGAGAGATTGATTGGCACAATTAAATGATTTTTTTCATATTCTAATATAAAGCCTACATTTTTTAATGTGTAATTGATCCAAGTCTTAGTATAATACTTTGAGATAATGTAATTATTTTTTACTACTATTTATTATTTAGTTGGAAATATATGTAATTCAAAAAAATTCAAAGCAGACTAAATATAAAAAACACATTATATTGAATATTCAAAAGCTAAAATATCTATTCAAATGTATTCCTAAAACTAAATTTTATTTTTTGATTCTACATATCTTTAATTCATTTCATAAAATACACTATACTTATATGTAAATTTTTTTGTTGAAAGACTTTGAAGAAATTAGAGGACCGTTATTAAATTTTTCAAATAAAAATTTGCAGAATTATGATTGAAGAATGCATTTCATGTTTGTCATATGAAGATTCTGTGGTTTTTAACATATTCATGGTGTTTTGTCACAAAATCATTGATTAATCTTGATCAAAGCTAGATTTGATGATTAGAGTATGTGATAGTTTATCGCATGTTATTCATTTTACTTTATTATAAAGAAAAAATAAAATCTATGATGCAATCATTATTAAACCAAATGTAATTTTAATATGTTGAGGTTAACATGGAGTAACCTGAGATTTTAGCTATTTATAGCTAGGTATATAATCTCAAGGTCTGTGTATTACCATACAGAACACGATGCTGTTTTCCCCGTGAATGTAGCCTTTGAGAATGAAGTACATTATAAGATTGTTTCTCTCGTGTAGGTTGTTAGCCTGAATGCTTTGTCAACGATTCTTAGGTTTTACGTTTACATAATATTAATGCAAATCATGCATTTTACCTATGAAAGGTTTTATAATGTCATGAATATATTAACTTTTTTGAAAAGTATATAATTCAGATTTTCAGTCATAAAAAATTAGATAAATTTGATCTGAAAATGAACATAATTTATCTCAGACATTAATAATTTATCAAATAAATGATAAATTTTAAAATTCGTAATTTTTCCATGCTCAGTCGAAATATTTTTCATATAAATTATTCAAAATTTATGTTTTCTACATGAATAAAAATTTGGTATATTTGTTGTAAATTTAACATTAATCAGTTTTCTCATAATATTCATCTATTTAAATCAAATACAAACAAGTCCTATATGATTAAACATAGTTATGCCAAATGTCTATGTTTACCCTTTTTTTATATAAAGTTGTGTATGATAGTAATTTAATCTTTCTGATAGAAAACAATATATTTATTTTAGATCTTGAATTCGAGTGTTATAAAATTTTCTCTTGTAAAAGTTTATTCCACCATCTATAATATTTTTCATCGTGTCAATCATCTATTGCCAAATGATGCTTCAAGTTGCTTTTACTTTCAAATCATACATGAAAATTATCTTCAGTTCAATCCAAAGACCTAATTTTGTGAAATACTAAATGATTTTTCAAGCACATAAATAGTTTTAGATAATGCGCCTCCTTTTGGTATCCAACTTACATCATTTAGACATTGGAGTTGATGACATTGTAATTTTTCCCAAAGATGCTATGAATTATCAATACTTCACAGTTAACAAGGCATATCATTTGGATACTACAGGAATATTACCTGCTTGACTACTCCATAAACATTTTGAAAACTCATCATTTTAGTAGATTGAGCTTTTATCGATTTCACTTTTTATCAATGTACTAGAATTCAGTTTATGTAACATGAGTAACACTATGATGAAACAAACCAGCTAATATTCCTAAAATACCTGCATCAATATGATGAGAAGCAATTCCTCCAGGTACAAAAGGATCAAAACCTTCAGCACCCCAAGCAGGAGCTACAGGTTGTACTTTTCCTGTTAATCCACAAGGTTCAGATATCATATGTTTTAGATCTATAATGCAAATCAATTTCTAAACATTCTCATACTATTGTTCGGGTTAACTCCTGTTAAATGGTCCTAGGTAAGTTTCGTGAGGAATTCGTGAGGGATATTTAACCTCAGTAAATTCTGTATTACCAACACTTTACAGGTTAATACAAACGCGCTGTGATTTCCAGGGAATCATAGCGTTAACCACGTTACGTCTCTATTTACTGGTGTTTTACTGTTTCACTGACCGTGTTGACTCCTGAATTTACTATCATTTCTTTAATATGATTCTCTTAGATAACCAACAGCTATCACTTTATTCCACAAATGTATTGTCAATCGGATCGCTTTGAATTTTCATTTTTGGGTAAATTTTTTATTATTTCTTGCATTCTATGTAATAAAAACCCTCAGTAAAACTTAATTTCTTATGTCTAACATATATTCATTTTAGGCACATTACTTGAAGAGAGTAACACATTATTTTATCTACAGTGTGGTACTCAATATACATGGTCTTGCAACACAAATGCAATGCAACTTGGTGCTTTATATCTAGTCGGGAATTGGAGTTTTTGTGATATCAAACCATATATATATCAAGTCTATCAAAGATATTCAAACCGAACAACATGCATGGCAGGTATGAACATCATAGCTCACCATGGTCTATACTCAAGTTGGCTCTAGTAAGTATACATTTCTGCCGCACTATGGATTTGAAGTGAAACGTTAGTCATTGTAAGTCAAATGCACAATAGCTATATATCTTTATAATTAATTATCTATACAGATATCAGGAGAAATTTCTTGATGCAATAACGGGATAAGTCCCTAGAGAAATGTTTCAAAAAGGAAGGGCTAGTTATCACTCACGGCTACCTCTCACCCTAGTATACGCGATTCTCTGGTCGACCACAAAACCCTACCCTGATAGCTACTCATCCGAGGACATTATAACCCTGCTTGCACAAATCAGAGAAGAAAGTGGAGTAGAGTGAGCGGTAATTAGCGTTAAGTGAGTGATAATTAACCGCTTCCTTAAAAAAATCACAGTCTCATTACTCAATTTATACGAATTAGCTCTAACTCTGACCGTCACCAGTTCCCGATCCAATTAACATCACCCTTGAACATCGACGAGGTTCCATGGCCCGTGTGTGATTCGTGTACAAATGCAATGGATCGAAATTGGAACCAACATCATTGACGATCTTGGCCAGCAGCGAAAGTTTGGATGCTGAACTCAAAACCCTTGCTCATCTTCAGAAGTTCTCGTAAGGGAGGGACGATTTGGAATGTAAGAAAGCTGCCTCTTATCTCTCAGTCGTAGAGCTCTACTTCAATGACGGGGAATCGACTTACGAAGACTCGGACCAATGCTAGCGGGAAGTATGCCTGCGGGTCATGGAACAAAGCACCTGCATCAAAGCACATCTCTTCAAAGATGTCGAGACTTGGAAGTGCCACAACTACATCGTACTAAACCCTAAAATTGATCAGTCCAGGGTTTTGCACGAAAGTCCGGAGGCTTGAACTCGTTCAGGGACCTGCGATCATTGCACTGTTATGAGGTCAGGAATTATGTGCTGATCGCCGGACTATTATGTTATATCGAATTTGGTTTCGAGCGTGCTTGACAAGGATGGCAGTCAGAATTGTTCCGAGTCAGGTGTGCATCAGTGGGTGGAACACTCAGTTCCCGCTTTCCAGGCCCAGTTCCTTCATTTCCGGAGGAGCGAGGGTGGGCACACCCTGTTGGCACAGAGTCAGGAACCTCAGAGTTGAGTGCCTTTCACGTGACTCGGTTGCAGTCTCCGAAGCACCACAAAAGAAGCAGAGGAGAAAGAAACCTCTGCAGGTGATGAGTTCAAATACCTTGCACATTGTCCTTGTCCTTCCGAGAACTAAATCTTCACTTCCTCGGTCTGGTCTTATCCCTGGGCAGCAAGTAAGTCGCAGCAATTAATTGTTATACTGTTCTTACTGAAGGCAGGTAGCAGCATTGCTGTTGAAGATGAAAGAGGTGATCTGCAGCTCACCGAGCCCGCTGAGGAGAGCACGGCCCATCAATTGCCATCAGGCAGCGATGACGAAGTTTTGCAACCGGCAGACGATAGAATTGCTCAAGAGCTGGCGGCAATGACCGGTACAATCAGCATTTCTGACCATGTACCCGTTGCCCTGAGATCTCTTTGCGTGGGCATTGATCCAGATTTGTCAGGTGCAATTGCAGTTCTGAGGACAGAAGACAACGTTATTACCGCTGAGGTATAGTGCTCGGATTTTATACGGGCAATTTCTTATCTCAGGAATGTGGGTGAGTTTTGAACCAGCAGATGGAAGTCACATGTCAGATGGTTCTCCTGTTTCACATGATTTTCATATGATTCTTGACTGCTATTTCGTTGACTGTGCTTAGGTGATTGACGTCCCATTTGTAACAGTGACGGTCAACAAGAAATCGCGAAGGCGGCATGATTATCAATCTATTGCAAACCTCGTGAGAGAGCTGCAAGCACCTGAAGGTACATTCCCCTGGCACATTCTCAAGAGCCATTGCCTGACAACTGCAATTCTAGGTTCGATCGTGCCTGGATACGAGGTGATGAATATTTATGGGACTGTGCTCGAGTTCATGATTCTTGTTAATGACATGCTATACTTCTTTATGAGGACTCGAGACCAAAGATTTCTTTCTTGTAAGACTAAACTTCAGTGGCTTGTCTTGTCATTATATTGTCGACACTAATTTTGGTTTCCGGTGTGTGTGGCTGCTTCAGTTTTTGAAAAGAACTATTAGTTGCGATCCATTTTTCTCTACCAAACCAATTGTTTCCATATTTTAATTTTCTTTTGGCAGTTGAATTGAAAGGACTTGCATTAGTATTTAATCTTTTTTCCACCTATATGCCATTTGTGTCTCGGATATCACAAGGCATTCCCTATGATCACATCGATCTCCTCTTACTCTTGTTGTTTTGTAGGCAGCATAGCTTACGTGGAACAAGCAATGCCATTCCCGAAGGACGGCAAACAGGTGCTCCTACCTCCAACCATACCGACTATCCTTGAACAATGGTCAGAACACAAACAGAAGTCTTTCTCTCATTGCAGTGACGAGTATGGACTTACTGTTTTGGTGCGTTCAGATGTTGCTTCAAAGGACTCAATTCTCCTAACATGAAGTTTTACAACGGCTGTAGGGATGGTACATTACAGGCTATGGATATGGTGTCTGGTTAGGAATATTGGCAGCTGCAGGATTTAAGGTCATTCCGGTACAAGCAAGAGTATGGAAAACTGCCATGAAAATTTGTGGCAAGGACTTTACGAAGGTATTACTCTCACACATTTGTCCAGGCTGATAGTGAGAATGAAGTCTTACAAGCCAGGGTTTTGTTGAGCTATCGGATAGTCCTCTAGAGTAGAGACTTAAATTTGAGTAGTGTCCATACGCAGAAGGTTTTATGTGCAGTGGTTCCGTGAAATCGTTGTCGTCACTTATTTTGCTTGTTGATTCCTACAGGATGATAGTCGAGCTTTGGCGTCATATATATTTCCCGATCTATCTTTAAGACTGAAGAGGAAAAAAGATCATGGTAAAAAAGATCTCGTGTGGAACCTTCAATATCCATGCTTTTTATGAGTTGTAATTTCTGGTTGTAACATACAGATGTTCATGAAGAGTTTTGTTTCATTTGTGCAGGTAGAGCTGAGGCCCTTCTTATAGCAGCGTTCGGTAAAGGCATGGCTCTCACTCACCTTCCACCTCAGGAGATCACTCCAAATGTGGTTGAGTTGTAATGCATGTGCTGCGAGCAGTTTTTACGAATCCAAAAATATTGATTTGACGAAGCCTCAAGCAGACGGACGTGCACCTGTTCTCGGCTCAGTTTTCGCATGACTTAACCAACCCACATATTTTTCTGAATTAGATTTTTGGTTGCTTCAAGAGGAGCATCAAAGAGAATTTTCTACCCTGTAGGTTATATTGAAATTTTTCCCTGATTGACCAGCGAGAATCGGATTTCAATACGGAATATGGTCAACTATCGTATGAGATTAGGAACTAGAGGCGATTAATGTACTGTGATGGCTTCCCTTTATTGAACGTCTATTCTCGTATGATTCATTCGATTGTACAAGGTTTTTGTTTCGGAGGATGGAAAGTGTAGGTTGCTTTATTGTGCATATTGCCTTGGGACCCAGTTGACTTCCATGGTATAATAGTGCATTACATGGGCAGTAAGCTTTGAATCTGAACATTGAAATTTCCAGACTTCAGCTTTTTATTATCATGAAGTATGGAATGAAGGTCCTGTTCTGGCAGGAACAGTGCAGCTCCTCGGTAACTAGCCAACAAGGGTGGAAGAAAGCCAACTAAAGGGGATGACTGTGAAGCCTGGACTAGAAAAGAACCTTCATGAACATCGTCTCTAAAAGTCCATTCTAGTTAGACCGGGACTCTTTTCCAAACAATGGATTCAGCACTTTGGTCAAGGACTTTTGTCGACTTATTTGTCTCCGTTTCCAAACAACGGATTCAGCACTTAGGTCAAGGACTTTTGTCGACTTATTTGTCTCCGTTTCACATATGCGCATATCTCATACGGAGGTTTTTTGCAGTGCCAATTTTCACCGTTCTGCCGCACAAACGGAGTCTTCAACTGTGCATTTGAAAAGTCGTTTCGATATTTAGACCCCCTACGTAGGAACATTCTGTTGAAATCTTTACAATGTGGCAGATTTCGTGACACTCCGCAGAAACCCCGGCGTTTCGTTTCGCCTTGGTCTCTTCTCGCATGTTGCGGGGTCGTCATGGTTTTCAACCTCCCTTGTATATCTCTTGTAACATGCTGCGCATGTAGCAAAGCGGTTCCCGAAACTCGACCCTGGAAACTCTGGCTCTGAAAATCCTGTTGAACTCTGGATCAGTATGTCGTCGGAATGTGGACTTCATGGATTTATAGTGGGTTCTAACTGCTCTTCTCAATAAAGAATGTCTGGAACCTTACCTGCACTTCGTTTACCAGGTGGGAAGATGTCGAAAGCAGCAGGGATCTTGGGTCTAGGATCTCACTTGTGATACTTTGGTCCCTTCAGTGGGATGCGGTTTCGGTTTGTGCTCGTGGAAAGAATGGTACTCGGTAATTCTCAGTTGATACTCGTGGAGATAACATGAAAGTGAGCGACAGTGACGGAATGTCATCCAGGCCGAGGTGAATAACCCTACTGTCACAATAATCTATTACACACATCATACTATGTGCAGACTGTAAACGCTATTACGCTATGTGCAAACGGTAACCATTGTCAGAACCTTTCGTCAATCAAAGAGAGTAGATTGCATGCCCGGCACAACGAGTATCACAATGCTTCGCAAACTTCTCGAACGAAGATACCTGCTCAGTCTGCCACGTCAGGCTGCGAAGTCCTTCAGTTCCTCTAGACTCAGCTCTACTCGGCAGCGCAGGGCTTCTCAATCTTCCCATCATCAGAGTAGAACGCATTCACAAAGCTTGCTAATTATTCTAGCAAGAGCGAGTTTCTGGCATGGTCTCTTCCGACTTTGAGACTGAAGAGAGTGTCAGTCCTGAGACTTGGATGAGTCCTGAGCATGAACTGAACGATGAATTTGGATAGCAAATGACACACCGTCAGGGTCGCCACCGATTTCTTCAAACAAAACAATAATATTGCCTCTCCGCTTGAGCCAAGACCGAGGAACATGGTAAAAGCGCTGTGAAGGGAGGCCGCAGTTGAGTGCACATTTGTTCATATGCCACTTGCCCCTGGCCGAGCAGGTTTTATCACATCCCCCACTGGGATTGCGTATCTCAGACCAATACCTGCCAATATGGTGCCCATTGACCCAAGCAGCCCCCTTCCCCATGCTTCCCAGATCAAGCATAACCGGAGCTTCACCTCTCGGAGCATCCTGCACGGTCTTGTACCACACGAGAGGATGATACTTGGGCGGATAAATCGTATGAGCCGACCATGCTCGAGATTGAGACTTTTGCACAGCTTCCAGGTGCAAAGTCTCTCCCTTCAAGCCCACCTGATGCACCCACTCCATGTCAGCCAGGTCCGTAACCTTGGACTTGGGTCCATGCAATGTCACAGAGCCTTTGATTCCTCCATGCTGCTGCTCCAGATACGGGCCGGATGATGGCCGCCCAGAAGTCACCGACAAAATGTCGATGGTGTTGTGGCCCTGGCGCAAAGTCAGCGGTTGGAAAAACCCACTGCTGTTGGAAATTGCGTGCCCCAGATGCTTGCCATTCAGAAAGACGTGCATCAGGTCTGGCTCGGCCTTTTCTACCACCAGCCAATGCGGCAGCTCATTCTGTGGGGCAATGAAGCGGACCCTGTACCAGAGGTAGTCTGTTTTGTCCTTCGTCAGTCTGAATTGCTCGTAGGCAGACTTGGATGTGACGACTGTGTGCAAATTCCAAGGTCCAACCGCGTCTGCGAAGAAGTTCCAGTTTCGGTGTGCTGCTGCTGGCTTCACTGTCACAATCTCCTTGGCAGAACTCACATCGGGCACGTGCATGGTGTTGAAAGCAACAGTTTTGCAGTCAGGCAGAATACTTACAGACCATGCCGGGAGTTGGTACTGCCTCCCTTTGAACGACACCAGGGCATCAGTCAGCCCAACGTTGGCCAAGAATGCTGCACAGACCCCGGTCGGTGCTTGGGAGTTTTGGAACTCTCGAACCTGACTGTGTTGGGTCTGGAAGACATGGATCTGCACGTTATTCTGAGACCTCCACACCAGGGGCTCTCCACTGACAGCTGCCAGAGCCGGGGCGCACATTTTGATGGCCGAATGGAGGTTCTTCAGGTGCTCCCACATGGGCTGTCTGGCCTGGCCGTATTCATCGATGGGAGCAGTGTAGTCGTAGCTGGTGGTGACCATTCTGGCAGCAGTGCGATCGAAGTTGGTGCCTCCGTGGTACATGTAGTAGTTCATGTAGCTGCCACCAAATTGAAAGAAGCGAGCCACCGCAAAGGCCAGGTCTTGCACTGGGCGAGATTGCAGAGTCTGGCCCCAGTAGTGCAGCCAGCCTGGGTAGTTCTCGGTCCACATCTTGGGCTTGTTTGGAGAATTGGGAGTGAACTCGTCGCAGTAGAAGCTGTTGCAGGTGTTGATGATGTGGGCTGGAGCGTCCTTCTGCTGGCACATGATCCATGGAACTGAAGTGCGTAGGTTCTCGGCCATGTTAGCTGCCCACGAGGAGTATTTTTTGCCTGCTTCGCCATATGAAGCCGAGACGTGACCATATTCATTCTCGATCTGGCTCATAATTATGGGACCTCCCTGAGAGTAGAAGAGCTTGTGGTCCTTGAGATATCTCACCAGGTGAGTGGTCCATTTCTCCATTTCTTTCTTGAACGGCTCGTTGTCTGTTCTCAGCTCGATTCCAGGAATGTCTGTCAGCCACTCTGGGAAGCCCCCGAAATTCCACTCTGCACAAACGTAGGGTCCGATTCGCAGGTTTACGAGGAGGCCTTCGGTCTGCACAGTCTCCAGAAAGCGGACCACATCGTACCTCCCTGCAAAGTTATATTCACCTGGCCGTGGTTCGTGGCCGTTCCAGAACACGTAAGTGTCGATGACATCTAAACCTCCTTCCTTGGCGAGCCTGATTAAACCGGGCCACATTTCTGGCGTGCTGCGAGGATAGTGAATGGACCCTGATATGAGGAAACGACGATGGCCATCGATCACCAGAGAACGGTGATCAAAACCCACTATGCCTCCTACTCTGTGGGTCGGAGACTTCGCGCTGCTGACAGTCATAGTATTCAAGATGGTGAGTATGAGATCTATCACGCAAATGGAAGTCCAAGACCAAGCCATCTTTTTGTGGATTGAAGACATCGATACGGGTGCAGATGTGCTGGACTAAATCCTTTTCCCCTTTCGATGCTCGAGTGTGGCTCACTTTCGAAATCTGTCACAGCCAATTCCACCCAGGACTGTCAACAAGTGCTCGGCTGGCAAAAGTGATCGATTTTTTGTTGAAATACTTCATGACTGTCTCCTGAAGGTCGAGATGGTTCCCGGAGGCTCCTTATGTTGGTGACAGGAAGAGCCTTCTCTTCTTCCTTCAGCTTGAACCTGCAATTGTTTTGAACAGAAAGCCGTCGGGAGGTGTTATTCTGATGTGAAGATGATGGCGATGAAGGTGATCAAGTGTTAGAATTAGTCGTCCTCTCGGCCTGATGTCATCAGGCTTCGTTCTGAAGTGTAATGAGTCTTCTTTAGCTGCTGTCAGCTTTCCGAAATACGAATTATCTGCTAACTGGCCTCACTCGTCACTGCCAGAGGCTCAAGGTTCATGCTTCGTTCACGCCGATTATTGACTCGGAGCTCGCAATTATGATCATAATCTCCGATCATATATGCCCTTGAGAGACGTTCAAGCTTTCTCCCTGCCAAACGGCGACGTGACTCAACAGCAGTCATCAGCTATACAACCGCTGACAGCACTTTCCTTCAGCAAGGAAGAATTGTAGTTAAAAGTGGCTTTGCTAGATTCTTCCCGGGATAATCATATCATCCTTTTCATCGAGACAACGACGTGATTAGGACGACAGAAGTGCGAAACCTCTCATTTGGATGTGGTACCGTCCCTGACTTAACCTGTCCTTGAAGAATTCTCCAACCACAGACGACCGAACTTTGTCTTCTCTGTCTCAGGGAATTTACCAAAGCTCGAAAGACGACAACCAGTTGTGCATCCGCAACTTTACGCAAATGCATGTCTTACGTCGTGAAAGTTCCTACTTACAGATCGTGATTCTCGCACTCCGGAGGTTTCGAATCAATCAGGAAAACTCTTGCATTTGAACCGATCTAGTAATCACCAAAGCCACGGATGAATTTCTACGAGAAAGGGGAAACTACAAATTCATGCAGAAATATTTCTCAAGCCAGAAACAAAGAGTGAGAGACGTCCACTGTCACATGAAGATTAAGTCGTAGAAACCTTATAGAAGGAGGAGATTTGCATGTCTACAGCCGCAAACTCTGGATAGATGTAGAAGCTGCAGTCTTGAAGAGTGACAAGTTGTCCAAAGAGAACGATGGAGAACAAAAATTGAAACTCTTCCGGCAATGTCAAAATCTCCTCCGGACGAGGCAGACGAGAATGAATGAAGTCGCCATTGCAGGCTTAAGTTCGAACTAACTCATACCGCCAGAGAGTGAAGTTGACCTACCAAGTTATGACATCATCGACACGGAATAACTCGACCCTCAACTTCGGAAGTGCATACGGTCTCCTCGTTGATGGTGTGGTGTAGGGACTTCGAAATTCACAGAAGATGGACTCGGAACGTGTTTACTTTGAATTGCGTCGCAGTTCATCAAACACATTACTGGTGAAAGATTTCAATGGAATGGACGCAACTGATACAATGAAGGGTAATAATCTTCAGCAAGATCAACCGTCAGTCTTATGTAATGAAATGCTCTGTAGACAATCTTCATTCATGAACACACCAGCCTTCTGACAAGTGTTCGCAGAAGCTGAATCTCCTCCTGCACAATCTCCGGCCAGTTCACGCTGAACAGAGCAAAAGTGCATCACAACAAATAAGGAGGCGGTGAGATCTTTATCTACCACATGTTGAGAATTGGACGTTGTCAGCATCGTTGCCACTTGGTTTCTTTTCTGCCCTCTGAGCTGAGCTGCTGCTGGCAAATGCAGGTAAAAAATAGAAAGTTGAGACTGACGGGAAACAAAAATGTTGGCAATCCAGCGAGTGATTCCGGGGTTCCATCTGGCGCCGCCGAAGGCAGGAAGGTCATGTATTCAGTCACAGGTACTCTGGTCTCGGATATGAGCTTTTGATGGGCATATCATTGTTCTCATTCTCTCCCCTGTGGGATGGGGCACTTCACCAGTTAGGTGCCATTGTTGAAGTCTGTGTGGACAATTTAGGATGCGCCGATGCAGCATTTGGTGTGGTGGTTGCGAGGCATTTTCTCCAAGTTGAGAAGTTTGTACAGAATTTGATTACAAGGTTGATCATCATTACATCATATCTTCCATCATGATGGTGCTTTATGTGCTTGAATCAGACCCCGTGGCCATCACGGGCGGAAGGACTGAGTGCCGAGGGGGGGCCTCTACACCAATTCGGATCTCTCCTCTCTAAAGCTTCCCGGTCTCGACAATTTCCTCTTAACGGTGGTTCAGTGGACAATTCGCGGGAGAGAGGACGCAAGCATTTCAGGAAGTCAGCCGCCTGTGAGCTCGAACCTTGGCCCAACGGCCTCCCCGCATTGGGCATGGGGTGGTCCCGAGAAAGTCACTCTAACCCACTCCTGCAACTTTGGGTTTCTAGGACGCCACTGAATTCAGATGTCGCAGCTCTAGCTTATATTCCCTGATCTTTGAGAAATGCAGGACTTATGGGCCCTTGTGGAGAGCCTGCTCATGATGGCACCCCGCGAGCAACAGCAACAACAGCAGCAACAGTGCAGATTTCGAAAGTATATTCTTCAGTGTCCAAACATGCTCAATATCAACGATTCGTCCATTCTTGTAAAATTCAGCTTCAACTCCAGTCGAGACCAGAGATCAGGAAAGAACACTGTTAAGTTGTAGTTCACCCGCTTTGGTAATTCACATGGAAAGCCGCCGAGTATGACTGGCTGTTCCGACGTCACACGGTGTTTTCGTGAGGATTTGCTTCACTAGAAGAGCGAGAGTGCTGAACTATTTGCTTTTGGGCCGAAAGAGATGTTTGCGTGCACCTTAGCTATGTGCTACGTGGTGTGTTTCGACGCTGCTGAGCTTTGGAAGTGCTCTTCTTGTCGTAGAAGCGTAAGCAGATGAGGCTACAGGGGAGAAATATGTTCCTCTAGGCCCTCGGGGATTGGCGAGAGGGTTGTTCAGCTACTCTGCACTCAGATGCATTACATTCAATCAGAGGACGATACATGAACGATGCAAGAATAAAAGACCCAGTCTTGCTGTAGACTGTATCCTGAAGACATCTCTGCAGGTTTTCTGAGCTTAAAAAAGCAGAGATGAATTGAGTGTGTCGTCGGAGAAGGTGAGAGCACGTTACCCTTTGACGGTAAACATGTTAAAGGAATTTTTGGACCATGTAAGCGCTCTGCTCTAGTACTAATACTATTTGTGAGAGAGGCGCTTGCAGTTTGTGGCACGTCGTAGGCCCTCGAACAGGCAAAATCTCGTAACGAACCGTATTGAATTTTCTCTGTCCCGTTGGAACTTCAATTCTCATGGAATAATTTCCCTCCTCACTCTCTTAGATGGTGACAGTAATTTAATAAGACGGGAGTTTAATAAGAACAAGATCCTGAAGAGACTCACCTTGTACGCAATTCGGAAACAACGGGTAGAGGCTTTTTTACGTGGAAAAAGCGCTATACTCTAGCACCAATCAGAACTTGAGACAGGTCTGATGGACTCTTGCTTGTCATTTGCTTTCGGCCCATGGTGATCATACTCGAAGGCCTCCGCAGCCCACCGAGACTCAACCAAGATGCTGCATGTGGAGAAAATGGAAGTCCTACTGTCTGGAGCTATGCGTAGTGCCAGAGGGTTGGGACAGAGACTTCATTCAGCAAGTCTGGTAGGTCTGGTGCAACTGGATCCATCAAGGACGAGCTCAAGCTGTCAAGGTCTATATGTCAGCTCGAGATTAGAGCGATCCAGCGACTTCTGAATCTACTCGGCGTTGTTTCCTCTTCTCGACACGTACACAGTTTAAGACATCTTTCGCTGGCGGGTGAGAATTCATGCACAGTTTCCGCCTTGGGATGGAAGTCCAGAATATCCCAGTTCCATACCTTCGCTGCCAACACATATAGTCTTGGTACAAGTGTGTCACCTTGGTACCCTATAGTCTTAGTACCCTATAGTCTTGGTACCCTGAACCCTTGGGTCACCACTAGCAGGAGTTGCTCTACTGAACTTCTGCCCCACCTTGGAATTTAGCTTATTCAAGTCTGATTTGTCACAAAGCACGCTAATTCGAACTGAATGGGAGTTACAGCAAGCTCGTATTCAAAAGCAAGATGTTTATTCCAAAGTTAAATCTCTACCGTACACAGTTTGATAATCAAAACCTCTCCGCAACATGGTTTCGACCCAACACATAGAAGCCAGAGAGGGTATAATGTTTTCGATAGCAAATATTTGGATAGTTCACATGAAATATGAGCAATTAAAATATAGTTGAAAAATAGGTAAAGTATTTCATTTGCTTCGTACATGGCTTTAAATGTGGCTCTATCTGACAGGCAAACAATATTCGGTACACATTGCGCTATTATGCATATCGTATAATACACAATCGAACTGTGAGAAATATGGAATGAAGGGTAAGAAGGAAAGTACTGATGGTAGATTGTTAATTTATGATAATCTGATCTTTGTATGAACGCACGTAGATGAAAAAATTGAAACTCTCAATCCATGGAAGGCCGAAGCGGCCATGAGACGGACAGTGGATAGCTGCACGAATTTGAAGACCCCTAAGCAATTCTGAATTCTGAAGAGCTGCCTGCAGTGGGATCAGATCATAATACTATTTTGTAACAAAGATATAAGTCTGGACCTGATTGGATAAAACAAAAGAGAACGTAGCGAAAGAATGTTGACATCGCTCTTCATTCATTCCGATGGACTTAATGTGATCATCTGAATGACCGAATGTGAAGTTTCACTCGTTGAAGTTCCAGAATTTTGGATTTCAGCTAATGGAGTTTGGCTGATTCCAGACTATTAAGAGCCTTGTGATGATAACTTTTAGAATGAGAACTCATGAAGACGTGCATCTCCTCACGCGTAGTCTGAGCTTTAAACTTCAACCGAAGTTCTGCCGCTAACGAAGGACATTTGAGAAATATGACGCAGGAAAGTTACGTTACTTCTGTCCTCCGTTCCATGGCCAACCGGAAAACACAAACTTTACATACTTCAGAACCCTGCGGTTGCGGAACAACAAGGCAGCCAAATTTGAAATATATTCAGATGCTTCTACTTTCTCAAGTTCCAGGCTTATATTGAACCACCTGGTGACAACACAATGGCATCCAAAACTAAACAATTAATTTGTCCGAATGTGAATGTCATGGATGCACGGTTTGCGAGCGTCACAAACTTTTTCATGAGCTACGTCAGCTGCTACTCCTGCTGCTGGTCAGTACTGTACTAGACCGGTGACCGCCACACACCAAACATACAGCGTTGACTGACAGCAGCACAGCGTCTCCACGGAGTCAACACTCTCGTCCTCCATCACGTCGTCTGCGGGACCGGCGAAGCTCGATCAGTCATTCCCTCACCACCCTGACCACACTCCCGCAGCCAACGTTCTTCTGATAGACTGTGCCTCTAGCAAGAGTGTACACTGTCATCAGCTGACTTCCGTATCCACAAAATTGGCTGCAAACCGAAGGGGAACCGAAAGGCCAGAAACCCTTCGAACTAATGCCAACATTCTGCGTGTCACATGTTCGTATGCAGGAAACAGTTTCGGAATCCACCTAAAAAGCCCACGATGAAAAGCCTATGAAATGAAAAACTTTAATTGCATCCATCCGGTACTCCAGGATAAGCCTAGAAATGGAAGAGAGCAACTTGGATTCTAATCTGGGTTTCAAAAGCGAGGAACTGATTATGTACAACAAAGATCAGCTTCGAAGTGTGGCTTCAGTTTTGTTGTGCTTCGCCCCTGGAGACCTTAAACGGATCCGATGCGGTGAATTCTACTTAACAGCACTGCTTATCAATTGAAATAGCGCCAGATGGAATGAGAGATATTTGTTTCTCCGTGTGACGTGATACGGCTGGTGAAAATTATTTGGAATTTCGGTGGTTGACACCGACAGGTAGCAGGTTTACAGCAGTTTCTTCTTAAGTATTCTACATGTGGATATGGTATGATAGTTCAACAACTCAGTACGTGACAAATTTCAAAATATACCACTTATGGTGAGATATATCTTGGAATTAGTCTATTCGTATATTGCATGGGCGTGCATTTATAAATTGAAGTGTTAGTGCTCGTGTGTGCTGCAGAGAAGGCGAGTATGGATCTGCGATCGAACATGACTTTGTATGTTTCACTTTAGTGAGCCAGTATTTGCAAGCACGTACTTGTGATAGTAGAGGTTGTGGACTGATTTTTTTTTTTGTAAAGTCTCGAGTTGCTCTCCATAAATCATTTTGGTTGTTGGTTCATATTGAGAATTTGATTCTAAGTCGATTACAAAAGTGATACACTTGTTTCAATGTGTAGTTTTCTGCCATTAGGTGAAATAATGATTGGTTTTCGGACAGCATAAAAATTGGAACGATACAGAGAAGATTAGCCTCTGCACAAGGATGACACGCACAAATAGAGAATTGGTCCAAAAAATGAGTTCAATTGCTTTTCTTTCTTCATATTTTTGTCTAGTCTGAACAAATGACTTCATTAAACACAATCTCATTGGAATAAAATTCATTATCAATAAAAGATTGAGATAAAACTAGGGTATGAAATTTAACCCATCGATAAGATACATAGGCTCGTTGGTTGGTTGTTTGTAATTTTTTTCCTGATTTCGACATCTTTTAGTTGAACGGCTTGTATTCTTCGCATATTTTGATAGACGAAGTAATATTTTATTTTTGTACGCAGATTTCGATAGACCTCGTAATATTTTTAATGTCGTGTGAATATGTATTCTGTCATGAGACTCGGTATCACCATACATCATACATCGCTAACATGCTCTACTCACAACTCACACATATACACAAGGACCGAGAGTGTCCACACACAAAGGTATCACAACTGTGAGGGTGGGCGTCAGGCCAGACTTCCTCAGTCGTTCTTGTGTGGGCAGGACTTCATCCATGAGACGTGTACCACCTAGTGACCTTAGTGGGAGGACTGAGACATCTACGTCACGTGTTGTGGACACAAACACACCATCTAGTGCACTGACGCGGATGGCTAGCTCAGTGTTGAGATCTTCACTATTTTCAGCTACGGAGCTGATAGACTTTGGGATTGACTTGGCTCGGGTGTTTTGTTTAGCAGCCACGTTGTGTGAACGTGGGAGTGTCACTGCTACGAGTGCCGAGATAGGCGAGGCTATGGTTGAGGAGCTATACTCTACGACTACATTGAGCGATGAGTCAACATGGCAGGCATCATTGGCGCGGATGGAGTTCTTACGAGCTCGACCAGCCATTGATCGTGAGAGTGTTGTCCCTGGTGTGTCTATGGTGGACAATCAGAGTGGTGTATTTTGCTTGATGAGTGCTACAGGGCAGGTGTATGTCCCAGCCAGAGTGTTGCTGGATTCTGGTGCACAGCCCTTGATGTTGGGCAAGACAGCCTGCATTAGTTTGGGAGTTCGAAGGTCCGAGTTGGAGCCTTGTCCATTTCAGATTCAGACATCACTCGGTGGCACCAGCGATAGGTCTTACATGATGACCAGAGAGCGCATATCAGTGCAGTTGAGGCATGATCATGCTCAGGATAGCTCGCAGTTTGGAGTTCGTGCGGTGGTTTCATCAGCAGAGTCATACGATGTGCTTGTTGGTGGAGCCGTGTTATATCCATGGGT